CAATTTGCAATTCGAAGTCAAAACATGAACAGATCATTAAATGACAAACAGGTAAAAATGCAATTAAAGCAACACACTCATACAAATAGATTAGGATCTCATTCTAATCAATTACTTATCATGCTCAATCACAGTTTAACACTAATCAGAGGTAAGGGTTGTCACAGTAGGGGCTCACGATTTATGTTGGGAATGAAAGAACAACATGGGGCTAAGTAACTGGTGATTGACTTAGAGTACGGCCATGTGGTGTTTTGGGATTGTTGAATAATTTCTTTTTCTTGAGACGTCCCTTTTTGGGAATTAGGGATGCTGTTGTGCGGGCTGTGTAGCAGCAACTGCAGTGCAGCAAAATGGGCCTATTTTGGGATTCATTTCGATAATCCGAACCGTTCATATTTTAGAATACATCAAGTAGAACATACTTGCAAAAAATCAAGTTAATCAAATATCGTTTACCAATTCATCCACTCACATTTGTATCTACAAAAATAAAAAAAATAATTATGATTTAAAATATTAAAATGAATATAAATGTGAGTGAATGAATTGGTAAACGATATCCGATTAATTTGATTTTTTTTCAAGCATGTTCTAATTGATGTATTCTAAAATATAAACGGTTCAGATTATCAAAATAGACCCCGAAATAGGCCTATTTCGCTACACAACAGTTACTGCTGTGCAGCAGCAGCCCCAATTTCCCTTTTTTTTGCTACGAGTAATTGTTGTCATACCCAATTGATGAACCAATCAAGTGAGGTGTATTTATTAGGATACCTAGGAGTGTAAAAATGGTCTGCGGCTCGGGGTGTGCCCGGCTCGTTTGGGCTCGGGCCCAAGCCCAACCCAAGCCCTAGGCTTGGGCTTGGGCCGTCATTTTGAAGCCCAACCTGGTCCGTCCGCTCGTGACCTAGTCCATCGACCTGCTTAAGGCCTACTCAAGGCCCATGCTGAGGCACGGCCCGCACCAAAACCTAGTGTTTTTTTTAGTGGAAAATAATAAAAGTTTGGTAAAAAAAAAATTAAAAAAATTAAAAAAAAATAGTCAGGCCAGCCTAAGCCCAAGGCCCTGCCCAAAGCCCGAATACCCTTGGGCTTGGGCCTAGGCCGAATTTTTTGGTCTGTGGGCTGAGCCGGGCCAGATTTACAGCCCTGTGGATACTCTACTCAATTGGGAAATAGTAATGATATGTAAATAACTAAATATATATATATATATATAATTTATTTACAGAATAATACGATCTTTTATAATCTTTTCATTTCATTTCAAATTAAAATATTTATTATTTTTACTCATAAATTTTAAAATATTATTGTTACATCATTCGAAATGAGTTGTTTTGTATAAAAATTTTATTTGTAAATTATTTTCTATTGGGAAATAAGTGCTCCAACATTTAAAGTATTTATCTCCAAAGGGCTTCAAATAATAATGCTTCCCATACATGAGAGAGATGCCACATTTTAATTCTCAATCATTTGGTGGTTTAGAATAATTAGTCACCATATTTAGGCCAAGTTTGGGGACTTTAAAAAAAGTCAAAAAGTCAAAAAGTTATTCAAAAAGTTAAAAAGTTAATATTATTCACCAAAAGTCAACAATTACGGCTGCACAACTCTCAACTCAAATTTTTCTCTACACACTAATTTATACAATTTTTTAATACACATTTTCCCATAACAAGTCAAAAAATTAACCCAAACATCCATATTTTTCCCAAACATCCATATTTTCAACCTCAATTTTTTAGTCCAAAAAGACAAAAAGTGCACTTTTTTAGTCTTCCCAAACTTGGCCTTAATTGTAATTAAGTTGATAGATATATTTCATTAGTTAGTGAAAGGAAAAAGACTGAAAATTTTAAAAAGTTTTTTTTCTTCTTAATTGTATTTACAATAATATGATAAGTTAAGTATTAATTTTTAATTTATTATATATTCAATCATATAAGACTCAACTCCATTATCATATTATCTATACTATATATTAAGTAAAAGGGGATTTTTAACTCCAAACTTTGTGGGAGCTCCAATCTCCTAATCTAAATTTCTTGATTTTTTGATTTAAAAAAAAAAATCTTAGCATTTATTAACTTCTCCCAACTCCCAAGTCTTACCATCATAATAATACTTTAATGCATTAAGAACAAGCATAAAAAAAAAAATTCTTTGAAATCCAACACATATGAATTCCTTGAAAAGTCCCAACACATATGATTATTATCCCTCATAATAACACTTTAATGCATTAAGAACAAGTATCAAAAAAATTTCTTGAAAAGTCCAACACATATGATTATTATCAAAATATTAAACTTTAATATAATATAAAAAAGGAAAAAAAGAAAACATTTAAAAAAAAAAGTATTTAAAAATCACAATTCACATATATAGATAATTATAAATACAATCCGTGCATAGCACGGGTGATATGTTAGTTCTGAATGAATTTAAAGATTTTAAATTAAGAATTTCTAACATTCATGTGAAAGAAAAATCACTTTATTTTTTAAGTTAATAGTAAAAAAAAAATGAGTTCATTAGCAACTTGGAAGGTGCACAAACATGGAAGCTAATTGGATCCACTAATTTGTTTGATAACATTTAAAAAAAAAGCATTTAAAAATCACAATTCACATATATAGATAATTATAAATACAATCCGTGCATAGCACGGGTGATATGCTAGTTCTGAATGAATTTAAAGATTTTAAATTAAGAATTTCTAACATTCATGTGAAAGAAAAATCACTTTATTTTTTAAGTTAATAGTAAAAAAAAAATGAGTTCATTAGCAACTTGGAAGGTGCACAAACATGGAAGCTAATTGGATCCACTAATTTGTTTGATTTGAATTATTTGATCACATAAGGGGCCCATTTTGATGCTTGATAGTAACCTTACTTTATTAAACTTCAATTCTAAAGGACATAGATTCGTCATAGGCTACATTTCTTTAAGATTAGGACTAAGGAAATAAGTAATACTTGGACCCATACAATCGAATTATATATATTATAAGATAATTGATGAGATTAGTTAAGGAATGATTGTCAGGCAAGTAGTTCATAAAAATGGTTCTGCTATACGTATTAATTGGTATATCAATTAGTATATTAACATATGTTATAATATTAATATTTTAAAATTATGACTCCATCCGTTATATAAATTAGAAAGACTTAAAATCTCTAAAATTATACCACATCATCTTTTAGTACACTAATTAGTATATCAATTGGTGCATATAACATTATTCTCATAAAAACGGTGTTACACGCATCAATTGGTATACCAATTAGTGTATCAACTTATATTATGATATTGTCATTTCAAAATTATGACCTCATCTATTATACAAATTACAGAAATCTAAAGCCTCTAAAATTATACAATATCATCTGTTAATACACTAATTAGTATATCAATTAATGCATATATCATTATTCTCATAAAAACGGTGGTGCTTTATTATCATGGCTTTGTGAATTATAAGTTAATTTTCATAGATTATTTGTTTAAATAAATTATAAACCTATAACTTTTGATAATTTGTAAAATGTTAAACCTTTTTAATTAAATAAACTGTCATATAATTTATTTTATTGTGTAAATATAAAGGATCTCCTCAAAATAATTTTTACACCAGTAATTAAGACCCCCCAAAAAAATAGAGTTCTTCTGTCCATATGTATTTGTAGGTTTCAAATAAATTTTAAAACTATAAATTATGACTGAATAAAATCTAACTTTTTAATCAAATAAGCTGGAAAAAAATATTATAATTTAAAATTATAATCAAACACCATTGGTTAACTTTAAAAAATAATAGCAATAAAAGTTAAATAAGTTGATTAGACAATTTACCCCTATTTCCCATTTGGGTTCCAACTAGTACTCAAAGAATGCCCCTAGAAGTGTTTTTTTTTTTTTTTTTAACAAATATCACTAAAAACGAGCAATTCAAATTTGAGTCTATCTGAATCGTTTGAATTTGTGCATGTTGGTTGACCACTCAAACAATCCCCATATGACTAGTGAAATACTTGTTTACTGCACTTGTCATCATTGTCAATTATAATTGTTACTTTATTGTTGGATGACGGGCTGGACTATCGATTGGACAATCAACAAGTCAAAATTCGAATGATTCGAATAATTCGAATAATTCAAAATTCGAACGATGTAGCATTGCTCTAATATCATAAAAGAGTAGAAAGTGCATGAGTTTCCAGATTTCCAATTTCAAATGAATAGAAGAATGTAAGAGTACGTACCAAAAAAAAAAGAACAAAATACAAAAATTGATTGTAAAGATAGAAAGAATGGCAAGAAAACGCATTTGATGAAAGTAATTTCAAAAACATTTTTTTGATATCCTAAAGAAATAAAAATTGCATTTGTTTTGAGGTTTTCCATTTCAAATGAATAAAAATTGTTCGCAAAATAAGTAGTACAAAAGTAATATACAGACTATTTGATTATAAATTTATTTATTCTTACCGTGAGATAAGTTATAAAACAAAGTGACACTTAACTTTTATTTTGTTAAAAATTCATTAAAACTCGACTTATAACATAAATTAGATTAAAAATCTTATTAGAGCTTCTTGATATTTTAACTCTATTCCAACTCGATTCAATAAGCTAATAAAAGCTTAATTTTAAAAAAAAAAATTATTCAAACTCAACTTGTTATTGATTAATCAAAAACTCAACTCGATAAATTAACTAAAATTGTTTGATATAAAGAAAAAAAAAAGAAGATAAATTACATTGATTTACAATAGAATATATAGCATATTTTATTTTTTTTCTAAATATAAAACATATAAATTTATTTTTTTTTTCTTCTAAATCTTAAGAGATATAGCATATTTTATTTTATTTTTAAAAAAAAAAATTAGAGGGCACTAACCTTATTAAACCATAATAATATGCTCTCCCAACTTTATCATGTATTTTAAAAAATTAAAAAGAAAAAATCACTTTGGAATAATCTTTTTCTCTCTCTCTCCCTCTCTCTGAACTTGTTCTCTCTCTAAACCAATTGACGAATGATGGGGGAAGGAATGGTGTAGCGGGTGGAGCTTTACGCCAATCCCATTTACGCTTCCACCCAACCCCCTATCATTTTCTTCTTCTTCCCACTTCTCTCCCTTTTCACCTCTCTCTCTCTCTCTCTCTCTCTCTCTCTTCACATTGCAGTTACTCTTTACGTCTGTTTCTCTTTCTTCATCTACATTTTGTGTGATACATATCTACACAACTCGGTCGCTGTTGCTCCTGAGAACATCCAGAACAAAACCCTGAAACTCCTGCCAATTGATTTCACTCCAAAGATCAGGTTTTTACGTTTTCTTTCCCTTTCTCTGTTTGTTTTCTTTCTGGTTTTCAGTTAAATTATAATGAAATTCCCAAATAAAAAAATTCTCTGAATCTTAATTGATTAGCCCTATTAGCTTGAATTGATTCCAAATCTGTGTTTTCTTCTCAAACTGCAAGAAAACGAGAAGGGAAGGGAAAGAAAATTTAAAAAGAATAAAATAAAATTTATAGTCAGTGCTTTGTATAAGATATATGTATATTGATATCTGTGTGTGCATTTGTTTTCTATTTGGGTGTGTGAATTTGATTTTGGTAATGAGAGTTAAGGTGATTGAAATTTGTATTTTTTCTTAGGATTTCAAGAGGTAAACTGAAATGGGTAATATCGGAAGTAGTAGTGTAAACGGTCGCCGGAGGCATGGAAGCCGGCGGAGCCACCCTCCACCACCGCCACCACAACAGCCTCAACCCGAAATTTCGGCAAATCGATATGTATTCGCTGCGGCAACACCTTATCCTGCTCAATACCCAAATCCTAACTCTCATCCTTACTACCATTACCCTGGTTACTACCCACATCCACCGCCTGCGATGCCGGTGCCACTGCCACTGCCTGCTCCATATGATCACCACCACCGTCCTCCACCCCACATGTACCCTTGTCGCCCCTTGATGCCTCCCCCACCACCCTATGTTGAGCATCAGAAGGCAGTGACCATTCGAAATGATGTTAATCTCAAGAAGGAAACTTTGAGGATCGAGCTGGATGAGCAAAACCCGGGACAGTTTCTTGTTGCTTTCACATTTGACGCCACCCTCGCTGGAAGGTATATTGCTTTATGCGAACTTTTTATGGTGTCTTATTTGGAAAGTCATTATATGCTTCAATTAATATTTGATTTATAGAATCAATTTCTTCATGATGATGAATAAATAATTTTGACTGATTGGAATTTTTATTGGGTTATTTCTTTCCCTTTTTGTTTGTTTGTTTGTCTCCTTCTTCATTATTTGTTTCAAATTGTTGGATATTATCTGAGGATTTTTTGACTTGTTTAACTCAACTTTAGCCTTTGCTTATATGGGTTAAGAGTCGAGTTATTTTTGGGGAGTTTCTATTTCATTATGTATGGCATGTTTCGAAGATTGTGAGCAACTTTTCTAACATTTTTCTATTTTCAAGTGTTTTGAAATGTTCCATGGTAGGTGCTTTGATGGGTTTTGGGCAGAGGCAGCTGCTGAAGAAATATCCTATATATTTCATTAGTTACCTTTGTGTTAGGAAATTGAGATTTTTATAAGGAAGAAATATCCTATATATTCATCTGTTACTTTAAGTCAAGACCACATAGTTTAAGTATCATGGACACTTAGAGGGAAGTTGTGCCCACATTCGACACCGACACTTCTGAATACTCCTAGAAATGTGATCTGCACTTATTGAACTTGTCATAATTCAAAATAAATTTCATAATTTTGGATCCTTCAATGATATACTTATTGAACATTTTAATGACACTTCTTTGACTCTCATCAACTGCAACTTAGATGGTGAGTGTCTTACTTGGAATAAGGTCCACCATTCTTGGGAATATAGCTCACACACCCCAAATGTGATTTATAATGTTTGTAAAGCAAATATATCATATGCATGAGCAATGTAAAATAAACTATTTAACAAACAACTTCTAATATGAAGAGAACATAGTAATAAAAGTAAAAAGAGAAAAAATTTGTAGTCAGAAAGCTAGCAGGAATATGCATTATATTATGATATCTAGGGAGCTTTATCTTCTACATTTTGTAATTGTTCAAGTGGATACATAATAAATTAAATTACATATTTTACTTGGACAATATATATAAAAGTCATTCCTATTAATATGTAAAGCTTGGAAGAGCTGTTAAGAACTTAAGAATGTTCAAAGCATTTAAGAAAATGTTTTGTAATGGTCAGGATGGCCACTTGGGCAGTAGGGGAAAGGAAGTGGTTTTTAGGTCCCATTTCTGATTGCACTCTTGTATATGGGCTTGAGAAGTGACTAGTGAGGGATAGTTTGAATTTCAGTGTCACTAATTACCAGGCACTATTGAATTGGCAATTGAAATCTACTTGTGTATGTTATTCACAGATTCACTTTTATATTATTATCTGATTCGGTAGCCAGACCTCTTCTTCTCTTATTGTGAAATTTTAAGATGACCAGATAAAACTAAATGTAGCATCCAAGAGTTAATCAACAAAATTTCTGTAAACATCATGTTAAGATGCATGTTTATGCAGGTGCCCTGAATCCAGTAAGCTATCTAATTGCATTTATTGTTAGGCATTCTGGATATATGTTCGACTATAACGAGTAATTAAAATTTCAGTATCTTCATATGAGCCTGTATGATGTTGAAGGCTTTGGTATATAAACTCATTGACTGTTTTTCGGAAATGCATGCCAAACCTGCTCCTAAACCAGTCATAAAGGAGGTTTGTACAGAGTGAAAATAGAGAAATGGTTCAGATCTAAGAAGCACATACACTTTTAATAAGGTGACGAATCCGTGTCGTATCCGTGTCGGACACCGACACTTTTTGGACACTCTTAGGACACATGTCCGACACTCTTTGACACTTGGAGGACGCACATGTCAATCGCTTAAACACACGTGGCTATCGATCAGACACATGTGAAACTAATTATAAGTTTGAATAAAACAATTTAAGATACAATAATAAAACAAAAACTATATAAATTTATAGGAATTAATGTCATATTACATTTTTTATTATCTTTGCATAATAGAGTCATATATATAACATATAATAAATATATAAAATTATATATTTCATGTGTATCCCCCACGTGTCATATCCTGCATTTTTTGAAAATTAACGTGTCGGCGTGTCTGTGTCGTATCCGTGTCGTGTCACATGTCCGTCTCCATGCTTCTTAGGTTCAGATGATTAAGATTGCCAATGAAAAACCCTATGGTTTATGTTATAGGTGAAAAGTTTAAATAATTCAAACGGGGAAAAGAACATGAATGGACTTATTGGAGAAACATTTGGAAAGGTATATTTAATCGATGATATTGCTCCCAAGCAAAGTGAACTTGGAAAGGATTCATTTGAACAATTGGGCTAAGGTTTGGATAGAGTTGGTGAGTTGTTTGCTTTTATGTAATCTCTTGGGTGCAATTTCAGCACTCATTTACTAAAATAAATGCTGGCAACAAAAAATAAAGTTATTTGCTGAAGTAGTTTCCACCTTTGAGATATATTGTTGCTGTTTTGTTGACTTCTTGTGTTGTTTACTAAGCATACAAGTTCATCTTGCATCCCCCCAAACCCCGCTTTAGCAGAATTCTCGGGCACTGGATCACTTTATTGTTTTCTTTATTGTGCATACAATTTCATATTTACTCTGCTAACAACATCACCATATTTTCTTTGGTAAAGACAGTGAAGGTTTAGTTTTTAAATTTTATTTTTCTGGGCTCCCAGCATTACAGTTATTTTCTTTGCGAAAGAGGGTGACAATTGTAGCCTGACTCCGATGAAGGAAGATATGCTTGCACCAGTGACAGTGCATTTCGAACAAGGTTTAGGCCAGAAGTTCAGACAACCCTCTGGAACTGGGATAGACTTCTCAATGTTCGAGGAGACAGAGTTACTGAAAGAGGGTGACATGGAAGTTTTTCCTCTGGCAGTGAAGGCAGAGGCAACCCCAGTTAGTGAGAATGGATCAGCAGATGGAAACGCGGAGTCTGGAACCACAAACTCTCAAATAACTAAGGCAGTGTTTGAGATGGAGAAAGGTGAATACCAGGTGAGGGTGGTGAAGCAGATCTTATGGGTGAATGGGATGCGGTATGAGTTGCAGGAGATATATGGGATTGGGAATTCAGTAGATGATGACTTTGATGGGAATGATCCTGGCAAAGAATGCGTTATCTGCCTATCAGAACCTCGGGACACAACTGTCCTTCCTTGCCGACACATGGTATGCTCTCTATCTCTCTCCCTTGCATGCACGTGTTGATTTTGGCTAGATGGGGACGAGGAATCTGTCCTCAAGCCTAATCTTTTTATGTTTTATGCAAGTGGTGATGGTGAGATTATTCAATGATGCAATTTTCATTGTTGATATCATGACTTGGAAAGGGGCCTTTGCTTTCTTGATGAGCAATTTAGAGACCTTTTCATGATTACTTTTTTTTATAATTATTTCATTTTTTCCTCTAGTTATGGCTATACCTAATGCAATCTTGTTCTTTCATACACCTAAAGCCATGTCCTTCTCGGCCTTTCTCTATTTCTTTAGCGCCCTAAATGTGGATCAACTCACCTCCTCCAGCTGTGTCGGTTTAAGTTGCACATGGCCGTACTAATTTTAGCAAGTTCATTATTTGCCTAATATTATCATGAAGGTTAAGATTGATCCAATAGACACTCTTCACTTGCATTTCATCCTACTTGTAATCTCCATTTTACCATTTAACCCCATGTTACATGGAAAAATAAATCAAATACTCGTGTCAGACACCCGACTATTGGACAAGTGCGTGATGTGCCCGGTACTTTCCATTGGATCTTGTACAGTTGATTTAACACCATTATATATTGTTATATAATTGCAAGTGCATGTTATATGTTACACCATTTTATCTCAAACAATAGATTAAAAATATAAAAATATGATTATTTTCTGCAGAGTTCATTTACTCTTAAATTTGAGGTTTTATAGGTCCAACTTCTAGATTCGTACACACTTGACACTATCCGAGTCCATGTAATGTAGTAGTCACCAACCTGAGTTGAGATACCAGTCAATAACTTGTTACTGACATGTTGGCCTTTCTTTTCTTTTCTTTTCTTTTCTTTTTCTTTTTTTATGATGCAGTGTATGTGCAGTGAGTGTGCAAAGGTTTTGAGGTTTCAAACGAACCGGTGCCCTATTTGCCGACAACCAGTAGAGAGGCTTTTGGAGATCAGGGTCAGTAATGGACCTGACGATTGAAGAGAGAATAGATTTGTTGCTGCTGGCGCCCTGTAAAGATCTTTGTTATTTTCTTCTCTCTCCCTCCCTCTCATACATTTTTTCCTTCGCCCAAATTTTCGAGTTGGCAATAATCAGACAGGAAATCATAATTGGTATGCAGTTTGCCTTGAATATCAAATGCTAGGCCTTTTAAGGGAGTTCATTGGGCCATGGGCATGGCAAGCCAATGCATTCTGTATGCTTTGTGCCCTTGCTCAGTGACAGTTCTTCCAAGTTATCGCTATTTGATGTAACATACATATATATATATATAACATGCTTGGTTTTGGTTTGATGATTAACAAAGCTGCAGTGTTTGTTTTCACTCTGTTTAGGTGGAAATCATTTTCTACAGAAATTTTGTTTCAGAAAATATTTTTCTGTATTTGGTGGTGGTGGTGGTGGTGGGATGAAAGTGGAGGTGGAGGTGGAGGTGGAGGTGGTGGTGGAGGTGATGGTGGCCGTGGTAGTGTGGTGACATTGGTAAGGTTTTTAGTCCGGAAAATGTTTCTTGCTTTTTAAAAGCGAAAATATTTTCTATCTAAATAAGTTTGTTTTTCCTTTCCACTAGTGAAAAATATTTTTCATTTTTTATTATACTAAATGTTAGAAAATATTTTTCCCGTCCAAACGTCGTGTTTTTTCTTTTTTCGTAAGGTGTTTTTGAGTAAGGACATGCATCCTAACGTATCAAATTTTATTTTATATATATATATATATATATATTTAAACCTTGTTATATTTTAGGTGACACACAAGGATTATACGAGGAGAATTATTTCCTCCCCGTACAATATATATATATATTTAAACCTTGTTATATTTTAGGTGACACACACCTATCGTTTTCACATACATTAAACACTGACAAATTTAAGGAAATAGATTGGGATTTTATGATAAGTAGAACGATATGGATTTTTTGAGAAACTTTTGCTCAGGTTTATATGTATTAATCTCTCGCTCACGTTTTAGAAATTAGCTTTATATTGTAATTTTTTAAAATTATCATCCTTGCATGTAAACATTTATTAGGGAAAATTACACTGTTGTTTCTTATATTTTATTTTTTGTGTCATTTACACTTTCAATTGGTTTAATTTTAACTCTTAATTCTAAATTTTATTTCAATTTGGTCTAAGTAATAATATTGTTAATATTTTTTTGATGAAAATTATCACTAAATTGATTGAGGTTAATTAACTGAGTCGAGTAAGTTTATAATTTTATCTTTAAAGAGAGCAATGTTAATTAGAAATTGTTTCAGAAAAATTATGTGTGATGAAAACTAAATTAATATGAAGTAAAGTCTAAGTCTAAACATAGATAAATCTAAGCTATATTAATATGTGTGATATTAGTCCAACGAAATCACAAGACCATCTTTCCATTCATGAAGGTGCTTGAAAGGTTACCAAAGTGATAGATACCCACTTTGACCTAAGGGAATGGTTGTGGGGAAAAGTTCCTATGATAATGACCTAGAGTTCAGATCCTCTCCTTGCAAGACTTACGAGCATGCAGCCCAACAAACCCCTAGTCAAGAAAGAATATAATAGATTGCCTCTCAACTCTTTCAAAGAGACAATTGAGAGACGGTATAAATTAAATCAAATGGGAAATAGAGGTATGGAATATATAGTGATCTATCTTTTTTTGCTTTTTACTTATGAAGGTCAACAAAAAATAAAATAAAATAAAAGTAGGCTTTCATTATTCCTACATGTTCTATTAGTAATATTCATATGAGTAGTGGCGGAGATAAAAAATTAAATTAAAATGGACATTTATTAATTACAACTTCAATATTTTTTTCATAACCAACAATAAAAAGATAATAATAATTTTTGAATTAATATAAAGTTCAAAGACTTAAATAAAATATTAAATAAGTATTTCACATAAAATTTTATAATTAACTTCGAGTAAAATCGAAAAGAAAGTATTGCGTATAACTAGTATATCATGGACAATGTAAAAAAGTCATATATTTAAGTCTTAAAATAAATTATATAATGGTAAGATACATAAAAATTTTACAAAATTCGAGTAAAAATTTCATATAATAATGATATCACGTCACCATTGACATATGATATCAACTAATAGTAAAACAACATATGAAGGGTGAACTCCGTATGCAAATATAACTAACAATCTAATAACTTTTACATATATATAGTGAGATTAATTATATTTATATACCAATAATGATGGACAATACTCTTATATTGAGATTTTTTCACAAAATTTTTATACATAAAAATATAATTTGTTGTAGTCCATTTTCAATAAAAAACAATCACTATTGTTCTCATAAATTTAAAAATGCCATTGACATTTTATTCTATATATTATTTTTGTTTAAAATTTTATTTATTAAAAGAAAATTATAAATCCAAAACTCAAGGGGGCACGTGACTCTTTGGCCTCCACGTAGCTCCGCTACTATCTTGAAGATGTCACCTATTTTGTTTATTGTGTTTTATCTTTCCCAATTCAAAATCATGTAGGATTTTTTTACATTATAAATGGATTGGTTCATCAATAGTACTAGGTTAGAATCCCTTTTTGATTTTGAGCCATTGATTCCACTATTATTAGTGAGCAATAATGGAATACAAGTTAAAATCAAATAATATTCATAGTTTAATAATTTCAGTGTTTTAAGAGCTCAATTCTTTTACACCACTACACATTACCAACTTTGCTATAAACGAGAGTCTTATGTTTTTTTTTGTCCTTCCTCTTAACCAAATAATGACAATTATTTCCCACTATAATGCTCCCCCACCAAAGAAGTTCATTGAGGACTTCAATTGATACATCCCACTACCATTTCCTCTTATGATGGTGTACAAGGACTCACAATCACCACACATCTTTATCCTTTTGGGGAAAAAAAAAAAAAAAATTTTATTAAAAGTACTCATCATCAGTTCCACCACCACTATCATGTTTGTTAAACATGAAGTATTTTTATGCTATTTAAATACAATAAAATTGCATTTTATATAACTAGTTTTTTTGCGCCAACGCATTTTATATAACTAGCTAAAGGTGTGTGAAATAGTATTGCGCTGCTACTTTTGTCAAATTTGGCACATAAATTAACATTGTATTATTTTATCTTGGAAAAGATGGTGTCTTATATGCACCTTATAATTACATAATAAAATGGTATAACTCTATACTTTCTAAGTCATTACTTGAAAAAAAATCAGAACCAAATATAAAAAAGTTATAACCAAATATCTCAATATAATGTCATAACTAAAAAAGAAAATTGATCATAACTAAAGAAAAAAATGACATAATTAAGGGTGAATATGATATATGATGTGTATAATAGAATTCTCCTATTTCTATCACAATCTATACTACACTGTTGAAATAAGTACTTTTTATTGTCTTGTGCTAGTATATTTTAGCACTGCTCACTTAAATATTACCATTAAAGATGTTCTTAAATTCTATGTAGACTATATACAAAATCAGAGTTCTATTTAGGCATAATTATTCATATGTTCCCCCCACCAAAAAAAAAAAAAAAAAAAAAACATTATTCTTCAAAAGCACACCTAGAAGACGCTTGTTTGGTTTTGTTTTAATCATATTCTCTTCCCCGTGACCCTTCTAATTCATTGTTTTGATTTTTTGATTTTTATTTTATTTTTTTCCATCAAGCTTAATTAAAAAATACAAATAATCTAGGAGCTCCATAGAATTTGTATAATATATTTTTCATATTTTCTATAAACTATAATCTCTCCCTAATGTATATAACATCCAATCCTTACAGATAAACATGAGCAAGCCACAGTTGAAAACTTTATGTATATAATATATATTATTGATCTGAAATTTAAGCTATGCCCATTTCCAAGTCAACTTTAATCTGCAGGAACTGTATGAACTGATTTCATTCTTGGCACATCCTAGTGGATGGGAACTCATTTAGAACATACAGCCACAACTACAGGATATATATATATTTATCATAAGGTGAGTGGGTCACAATATTTAACGGGGCGTTTGATTAGACGGACTGAATAAAGGAGGATTAGGATCTATCAGACTTGAGTCCTAAGACTATGAATCTCCCAAACTATTTGGTTGGATTGGATATCTATCCTGTGTTTGTTTTTTCATGGGATTAGATGTCTGGAAATGACTATTTAATCTAACGTTTGGTTGGACGGACTGGATAAGATAAATGAACAAAGGACTATTTTACTCTTTTTAAATTGTTTACTAAGTAATAACAATATTAAACATATATTTATTATTTTTATTTTTTAGCTAGATTAAATAAAATTTTATTTTATTTTATTTTATTTTATTTTTACACAATTAAATAATTTTATTTTTTTTAATTAAATAAATAAAATATCAATAAAAATATAAGTTATTTTTTTAATTAAAATTTTAAATAAATTTGTTTTTAAAAATAATAATAATTATACAATGAAATTAAATAAAACATCTATTAACATTTAAATAATGAAATTAAATAAAATATAAACAAAATTTTAAAATAAAATATCAATAAAATATCTATAAAAAATTATTTTAAAAAAATTAAATAAATAAAACATTAATAAAAAGTTAAATAAATTTATTTTATTTTTAAATTGAGACATTTAAATTTTATTGAATTTTACTAAATATAATACATAATTAAATAGTAGAGAGTCAAAATAGTCATTTTACCACCTAATTCCAATAGTAAATTGTCCCTTCAAAACTGTCTCACACCCCCTCTGGGATAGTATAATCCCCCATATGAGGGATAAAGAGTCCGACCGGACTCTATGTCCGACGGACTAAAAAAAAAAACGATAAACTACTCATTATTTCAGATAAACAATCCGAATAATGAATAGTCCCCTGATCCCCCAATCAAACCAACCGTTATTTGCTACCTTTGAGGCAACGCTGCACAAGACATCCACATCATTCATTGATATGCAACATTGCAACATGGGTTATGGAATAATTTTCGCAATTATTAATATTTTTCAGTGTAGTAGATCCAACATTGTCTTCCATCCATAATAGACTAAAGGTTCCAGTTGAGGCAATTGTATGCTCACCTCGGACCTCATTCAATAATTCCAGCTATTCAAATTATAAGATTTATTAAGTAGATTGTTTATATAAAAAAATAAGTTGATCGGATTTAGATCATATTTGTCTTTAAAAAATAGATGATCAGTGTGATTTTAAAAGTAAATGGTTTGTGTTTTTTAACAAATAAATATGATTCAATCATATGGCCAATAATTCCCAATCAATCTAAGTTT